CGCTTTTAGTATGCTTCCCAAAATTATGCTTGTGAATTTTTTTAGTAGCTCCTATATTTTTATTTGAAATTTTTGTTTTCTTTTGAATTTTAGCCTTAGGATTATTTTTAAGTTTTGAATTCTGTATGGATGATCTTTCTTTTCCTTTTGTTTTCACTTCTTTTACTTTTAGACCTTTTTTCTTATTTTTATTTTTAGGAAGTAATGGTGCTTCTTTAGCTTTTTTCTTAGATAAATTTGTAGAGGGTGCTTCTTTAGCCTTTTTCTTAGATAAATTTGTAGAGGGTGCTTCTTTAGCCTTTTTCTTAGATAAATTTGTAGAGGGTGCTTCTTTAGCCTTTTTCTTAGATAAATTTGTAGAGGGTGCTTCTTTAGCCCTTTTCTTAGATAAATTTGTAGAGGGTGCTTCTTTAGCCTTTTTCTTAGATAAATTTGTAGAGGGTGCTTTTTCCTCTTGAGCAGGAATTGATCCTGGTAAAGGATCTGTTTTCTCTTCAACTTCAAGTTTGGATTCTGGTAAAGGATCTGTTTTCTCTTTAACTTCAAGTTTGGATTCTGGTAAAAGATCTGTTTTCTTTACCTTTGGAACTTCAGTTTTTGATTTTGTAACTTCTAAAATTTTAAGTTTTTCCCTCAATTTTATTGTGTTATCCTCATAGTGGATACATGCTGATTCTTGTTTCCAATTTGTCAACCCTTCTATCCGTTGACTATGGGGTTTCTTGTCTTGGTATAATTCTAATAGTTTTGCTTTTACATCATCCCAATTATCAAAATCGTACAAAGAAATTCGAATCCTGGCTTTACCAGTGATTCTGGAGTAGATGAATCTGAAGAGTGGGTACTTATTCTCTTCAGAGGACAGTTCAAAAGCATTATCACAATCAGAGATAAATGCATCAATTTGGTTCCTTTCTCCGGAAAAGAAATTAGGAACTAGACTACACAAGAAACTAAGGGGTATTTGGGATGGGTCGAAAACAGGTTGACCAGTTCTAGGCATTGTTCACAACAAAAATGAGTAACTATCTGTACTTACTTACAATACAAAAAGAATTTCTGATAAAGAGTTGAAACCCAACAACACGAAAAGAATTACTTTAAATCCTTCTGATTTCCTGTTGTTCAGAAATATCCTACCGACTGCGCCATAAATATGTCGTGGCCCGATTCGATTATCGATTCACGACGTTGATCTTCCTCCGCGTTCGTGGTATTATTCAAGATTGAAATCGAACACACTTTTAACGAAAGAAGAATTATATTGATTGTAAGCAACAGAAGAACATTTTACAACATGTTACATGTACAGAACAACTTAGTCACTAAAATAATGTTATGAACACTACTAGTTGTAAACACAATCACAAAACTAGACCTAGACACAAGTTGAACTCTAAGATATCAGGAGAAACCGATGAACTAAGAGTCGAACACCAAGAACGAAGTCTAAAGAAACAAGAACCAAGTCCTGAGAAACAAGAACCAAGTGCTGAGAAACAAGAACCATGGCTGAGACGTTCAGCCTCCTTTTATAAGTTCGATCCATCGTTAGTCATTGTTCATTGACCAGTAATCAAGATTAGATAAGAAAACAAAAGAATGATTGTCCAGAAGCGAAGCTTCCAGAAATGCTGACTAATGATGTGAATGACTAATGAAATGCTATGTCTCTACGATGTGAATGGAGTCATTGTTCTCCAGACACGCTGACTTTACGTCTACGATGTGAATGGAGTCATTATTCTCATTTATTTATCAAAAAATATATCACATTTGATATGGGTTCATAACAATATATATACATATAGCGAACGCCTTTTTGCTATGGGTCAAATTAGAAAAATTTTGTAGGATTTCCGCGGTGAGGAAGTATCATCATTATCTTACCGCTAACTTAAATTACTCACGTGATTAATGTTTCAATAATAATGATAATAATAATAATAGTGATGATGATGATGAAGATTTTCACATGCGACGAAAACAGTTTGTTTTTTTTTTTTTTGGCTCGTAATTATAAAAAAAAAATTTTTTTAAATGTGATTTAACCGTTTGAAAATTTTTTTTTTTGACCATACCGGTTCTTTTGTTTGTTTGTTTGTTTGTTTGTTGTTTGTTTGTTTTTTATGAAAGGCATCGCATAACGTATGACGCGTGATTTGACGCTCCTGCCGTTTTTTTTTTTTTTTTCCGATTCGG